AAAAAATGCACAGAACATTTACGTGATCTGAAAGATACCTTGTTCTTGCTCCTCGATTTATGAAATAAGAACTGCGCGATTTTGATGTTGACGATGACGACTCGGCTTGTGACAACTTCACAGATGAGCTCGTCTGCCATTCTTCTGACGTATGACTTCGTTTTCGATCGTCTACTTGGGAATTTTCAGGATTGACGACATTCTCACAATCCGATTTATGTGAGGTGGACTGATCGGCGACATCCGAGGATGAACAAATTCCTTTTGCCAAACTTTCAACGACTATCGAATTATCGGCTGCATCTGCGGTGGAATTGCGAGTGTGAGACAACTGATCTAATTAAACGATACAAAATGAATTTGAAAATCGCAAAATTTTCATTTCACGATTCCATTCTATCGCCGAAATTATTTCACCATTTCACAATCAGATTAATTGACACAATTCATAAGCATCACATATGAACAACACTCTGAAAAGCTAATTTTTGCTCTTTGTTGAATGACATGCGGAAGTTATGAAATTAAGTGAACGTTCTGATGAATATACACACATCGTGGTCAATCAGAAGGGAACCCAAAAATTTTTTTCTCCAGAAGGAAAGCGATCGATGAGAAATGATAGAATAGGGTTATTTGATTTGTTGCCCTGATTTGATTAACTTTAGAGTTGTTGAAGTGAACAAACTGAGACAAACAAAATTCTGTACGATAAACAGAACGAATGAAGTTGCTGACTGTGGAATAGAAGAAGTGAAAGAAAGAGTCAAACCAAAAACCTTTGATCAACGGTTGTGATGAATCACTAGAAGAAGACACCTGAGATGAACTCGGCGATGCGTCCGAAATCGCAGCTCGTGGATCGACGATGCCATAAATTTTCATCAAATCATCGCAATTCCATTTACGTGATATGCCATTAGTTCTTCGTTTAGTTAAGTGCATTGCATCGTTTGCCGTCGAACGATTCATACTGATTTTTTGGTCCCGCTGGTGTGTTATTTCACACGACCGCGTACTTTCCACTTTAGATTTTTGTGCTGATCCTGCGCTTAATGAACGGAAGTAATCCTGTAACTTCAGTCATTTAACGGAATTCAATCAGGAGCATCTGCTTTCTCCAACCACCCCCTAACGCTGTTTTAAAGAGATCGGAAGGTTATGAAAACCTTCTGATCTTCATGAACATTACGGGGATTTATGAGCAGAATATCTTCTGCTTGTAAGCAAACATTTTTCGAAGGGAATGCATTAGAGAGAAGACTGAGAATTACTGCATGATATTACAAGTGACAAATTGCTCACTTCAAGCGAACGATTAGCAAACTTAAGATACTTTTACAGCAACGATGAATTTCAATTACATATTAAGGTGTTCGATATAGATACAAGAGAATTTACCTTGATGTTTTTATTTACCGCATGATTTGATTTTGTTTGTATCGGTTGGATGAAATCATCTTCGTCTTCTTCACCGCTCACAGTTGTATCGTCATCCCTCGCATTCTTCTCATAAACTATTGCTGTCGATGATCGTTGAACTTTTCTAACACCAGTCAACTGAAAATTTTGCGTTGAAATATAGCGCACAAAACTCGCCTTTCACCTAAAACTCCACGAATGAAACAATTCTCATTTCGATTGTCGTCAAAATTGCCGAAGATCCAATACTGTTCTAAATGTACACTATCTGTGAGGATTTATGTTTGAATTCTTGTTATGATCATTCAAGAATTCTCATCAAAAAAGACGATTCAATAAATTGAATCACGTCCTATCAAACGAATTTTCGAAAACAACTTTGTTCGTTTCGCTTTCCAAACGAAACACACTGCATGCTATTTTCAAAACATACCACGAATGCTCCACACATTTGCTTCTTTGCTTCTTCGGCTTCTTTCCTAGTTTTCAATCGTTCGGCACCATTTCTGAAGTTCGGACTCCAAATCGACCATTCAGGAATTTCTTTTGGTAATGTGAACTTATCGCTCATCCGCGGTTGCTCAGCTAAGTTACCAAGTGCCATCCTGAAATCAGATACCAATCAAACGAATATAGAACATTTTGAATAACCACATCAATTACCTGAAGGCAACAACGAGTTCGGAAACGCTCGTACGCACATTATGCAAACAAGAGACATAGTTAATCGAAATATCAACGCACACATCACACCTTCACATCCAAAAAAAAAATTCAGCGGCCACTGAATCTTAAAATCCAATTGTGCATCTGAATTCGAATATGTAGATACTAGCCTGAAAGCGGTTGTTGGTGAGTCAATTTTCCCCGCATACGAATAATCCGTTTGATTTTCGTCATCTATCGTAAGGCAAACAAACTGAAACTTACATTTGAGAGATACACAAATATACGAAAAATTAACTGAACAACGAAAATTAACGTTATCTGTGTATTACACAACATCACTACTGCATTTTGTTCACAAAATTTTAAGTTCATAATACAACTTCACTATGATCCCGAAATGACGTTATGATATATCACAGTTTGACTACACTGTCATATCAGAATTCAATTTCACCACCTATGTCCATCGAAAAATTTTTTAAATCCTACAATCAAAATTTGTGAATTCAAAGTTAATAACACATGTTTGAAGTTAAAAAAGATAACATCTTCATCTTCCGGAGTCCCATAGCTTTTTGGATACTCATTCAGAGGTCGTTGTCGTCGTTGACGAGGATCATAGACAATCTGATGTAAAAAGGTGTTCTCGGCCCGTATCGCATCCGCGATAAATTCTTTTTTGATTTTCAAATTTTTCATATTCAAATAACGCGGTAATCGAGGTAAAATCTGAATATAAAATAAAATTTTATACGCCACAGAAACGTCATTTTATACAATCGGGCTAGGGACGGAAAGGATTCCTCCCGAGTGAATTGTTGCAATGAACGGTCAGAAAGCAGAATTCCCTGGCCAGGAAGTGCCCTTGCGTTTCAAACTCTATTGTACAATCGAACATTTACTTATTTACTAATTCTATGATATTTCATTGTTTCAAAGATATGATAACATTTCATTTTCATACTTCAAGTTTATGTTCTAGTTTGATGAGATACAATTACCTATTTAATTTTCTTCTTCTAATAGCTGATATGCAAAAAATGCGATCGCAAATGTCACAACATAAATCAAACCTGCTCCAAATTAGTTCCGGAGGTTTTCGACATGAATGTTGCAGCTTTGTTGAGACCAACTCCCGGTAAACCGTTCTTTAAAAAACGAAAGTGATCATCAACTCATTTCAGAAGTGAATATTAAAAATAAATGATTACTGCGCAAATCTGCACATTACTGATGTTCGCCAACTGCAAAACTACTTTGTGTGGAAAACTGAAGAACTCATTATGTACGACGGCTAATTGGATATGGAAAAAAACTAAAGTAACGATATTGTCAGTCTCAAATGAAGACATTTCAAAATACCATACAAAAGAATACACGACATATTATTAAGCATAGTTTGTACCTTAAGATAATCACAACCAGCGAGAATGCAAATACGTCGGAATTTTGTGAAGTCAAAATCATCACAGAGTGGTCGAGAGAAACATTTCGGTAACTCACTTCTTTCATATATTGTACATGAACCATCTGCTTGCATTTTGAGTATTATCTGAAATAAATCGATTCAGCTCCAAAAATAATTTTTCCGACCCCTTCCCTCCTCACGCATAAGGAAATCTTTTCCTCAACTAAATAATAAATCAATTAATGGGAATTTGAAAAGCATGACTAATCAGTTATTGAATAAGTTCAAACATTGGCTAACGCATGGTTAAGATTAACAATATAACTATCCATTTGAACTAGAAATATTGACTGGATGAGTTCATAATTGCATTTGATAATACCTACCTTCTCACAACCGAATGCTATCAAATCAGAATCCTCGGTCACTACCGCATGAGCAATTCCAGTTTGAGTTAAGAATGCTAACTGCGCGTCCGATTCATACGGTGCCACCAAGATATCAACCATGTCCATCTCGCGAAATGCCTGAACAGTTAGAAAATTCCATCGATACAAAACGAACAACTTCCGGAAAACAAACTCAAAAAAATTGAATTACTATAGATTTTCAGCAAATACGGCTATGAACGTGATTTGAAAGAAAAAACGATGCAATGAAACGTACTTCAATGGTATTCTCAACGATCTCACGAGTAATCGTCGTACTTTGCTTGAAACAATTATATGCTTCGCTGTTTTTGCCCTCACTCAGAAACTGCTCACCTTTACGTTTCTGCTCCTCACGTCGTTCACGACGGGCACTGTTCGTCTCCTTAATTTATCAATTGCTTTTATGCCTCCAATAAATCAAATATATCCTTTATAGTTTAGCCTATCTTCGATCGGTTTCTCAACGATCAGTGTCATCACTCATACTATGACGAGATAAATAGAGAATATTCTGGCAATTGAATGAAAGAATAACACATGAATGAGCAAAAACATAAATTAAAAGAAAAATGAACAAACAAGAAACGAACTCACTTGCTTGGCAGGTAATGATTTACCATCAAAAACAAGGATTACGTGAGCATGGATAGCCAGTAGTGCTTGCACATACTTCATTACATAACGAATATAACTGAAATACTTTCACGTTGTTATTGTTACTGTGAACGCAACAAAAAATGAATAAATCTTATTGTTCATCCATGATTGTTCACTTACAAAAGAAATTATCTCAGAATTTGAATTTTTGATCACTTCATCAGGAATTGAATATATTCCATTAGTTCAAGTACGAAAAGAGCACTTTTTTTCCATTTTGAATTAAATCCGACACAGGTGGCTGTTTCGTTGAATGAGGACAATTTTCTAATGTTCCTGATTGTTTTCCTGTTTTCTTTCAATGAAATTGGAATGCAGAGATAGAGATTATGCCGATTTCTTGGCAAAAACATTCTAACGCGGTTCAATACACACTACTTGATTCGTTTGTGAACAGTACAAGACGACTGTGACCTTTCTGACTGCATATAACTTTTTGATTAATGGACATAAAGCATACCATTATATATGATGGTCTGTTTGTTTGTTGATTTTGGTTATTCATTCAATAATTTCAGGTAAATTAAAAATGAGTTTAATAACCTCAGTCCACAGTGAACAGCAAAACTCTTGCTGCTCACAAGTTATCATTATCAACAAGAATGAATGCTTACAAATCCGTGTCGATGCCTTGTGCAACGCGATCTGCACATCCGAATAACCCACGGTGCAACAAGCAGCTCACATCAACCGCTATCGAATGACCAGCAAATTCATTGATAGTACCCTGAAATTTTAAGAAAAAATACAATTTTCACGCATAAACCAAACGGATGAAAGAGATATCTAACCTCTACCAAACAAAAACTAATGAACAAGAGTATTCAAGAAATTAAGTCAAACAATGATAACGTGAAACTTAATTCATTACCTGACGACATGCTTTTTTGACAAATGGCAGTAGATTAGGAATACCCATTGTTCGGCTGAACTGAAATCTTGATTCGTTAATATTCAGTTATTTGTTATGATACCAGTTACGCTGACATTTATTATACTGTTTGCTTTAACCAGAAAAATAAGGTCCTGGTTCGCACTGATAAGAAGAGTTAGATGCAGAAAATGAGACTCTCAATATTATGTGAGTGAATCGATGGGTAAGCAAGATGTAATGAGCTCTTAATCTGCGAAAAAGTAAAGTCAAGATCCTCAAAGACTGGATATACTTTCGATAAGTGAATCGCAAGAAAGATGAGGGGAAACAAAACTAATCATCCAGTATATGTAACCAACTAAGGCAGATTCGGAAGAACAGACATTAAGATCAGGCAAGAAGTATCACAATTTTCAGAAATAAATTCACAAAAACAAGCCAACTTTGGAAATTGGATCACAAACATGAGAGAGTTGTATAAATTGAATTGGTGACAACTCTTTTCCCACCAACAATAATATTTACAATGTCCTCTGCATCACTGACTACATGAGAGAGAATGCTTAAGGAATGTGAAAACCAACTTACGACTACGGTAAACGCATGCTAGTGCAATCATTAACAATACGTTTCCCGACATCTGAACCAAAAGAGAATGAGACAGACGGCTTTCGTAACAGAAGCTATAATGTGATGAAAGGAAGAACATTATGTATGCAAACATAATGTTAATGATTGACTGGATATACTTTTGATAAGTGAATCTCAAGAAAGATGCGGGGAAACAAAACTAATCATCCAGTATATGTAACTAACTAATTCATTAATATTCAGTTATTTATTATGATACCAGTTACGCTGACATTTATTANGATACCAGTTACGCTGACATTTATTATACTGTTTGCTTTAACCAGGAAAATAAGGTCCTGGTTCGCATTGATAAGAAGTATGCAAACGCGCTCATTCATACTGTTTCTGTGAAATGCTGCTGCATGAAATAAGCTATTCGATATATTTCACCTAAACATACTCGAGAAGATATGGGCTATTTTCTTAAACCAATCTCAACTAGTGCATTGGCGCTCATTTATATAAATTGACCACTGCAAATCAATCAGTAAGTCGCAAGCAATATAGGGTTGACATTTTCAAGCAAACCGTGTTTTCGAAACAAACTTTTGATAGTAAGATTTTATGGAAATTTTAGTTCCGGAAAGAAAGATTCCATGCAATTTGAAAAATTCGGGAGGAAAGATGCATGCAATTTTAATATCAGATTGTTAATGTTTTGAATGTAACAATGTAACAAGCATAGTATTGGAATGTAACGATGTTTTCATTAATTTGGGAAAGGATTCGAAGGAATGTTTTTCAGAAATTTTTGCGTAAGTTGATATCAGATGGAAAGATGTCA